TTGCCTGAATTAGCTGTTTGAAGAATTTAATAATAAGGTGGTAGACAATTTCAAGCGAGCTAGCATGAGCTACTATTATTTATATTAATTTTTAACTAAATCACTAAATCGTGAATACTAATAAGTTTGTGATCTTGTTTGTTTTTAAACATAACGTTACATATGACGCGCAAACGCGTTTTCGTTCGTTTATATAATAAAAATATTAGCATTTATTAACTAACAGTTAATGAGTTACGCTATATGATCAAGGTCAGCTAATGTGAGATCTGCGAGTTTTTGTCGCCTAGGTCGTAATAGTCAAATCTTGTGAATTAACATTGATAAACACTGGTAACATGATCGCATATCTTTAGTGCAGCTCGCAATAAAACGGTATCGTGATCCTTGCCTGATATTTCCGCATGCCAGATATTATATCGTATTTAATTTCGTTTTTAATTAATCTATAATGGCAATTGTACAATATTAAATTTTAATATTCTCTGTCATATTAATATTAATATTTGTTTGTTAACTGAGTTAATTTGGGCGGTTTTAAGGCTAATTCTTATTATACGACACAGAGTCAATAAATAAAAACTCATTTCTCAAACATTTTTCAAAGAAAATAAACAAACTGAATAATATCCCATAGAATATATACACAATACTAGAGCACTCAGAGAGCACAGACCTCGCCAAGGCAGTGAATTGTCTCAATGTGAAAATTTTTTAATTAATTAATTAATTAATTAAGTCAAAAAATTAATTAATTAATTAATTAATTGGATCCGGATCACCACCAAAATGTAATCAATTCTAAGTTACCCCTTTTCTGACCTATTCTGGAAATTTTATTTAATTAATTAATTAGTTAATTAATTAATTGGATCCGGATCCACCACCAAAATGTAATCAATTCTAAGTTACCCCATTCTGACCTATATCCTAAAATTTTATTAATTAATGAATGATTTAATGAATTAATTGGTTCCGGATCACCACCAAAATCTCATCAATTCTAAGTTAGCCCATTTCTGACGTATCCTGAAAATTTTATGACAAATCCGTCCATAACTTTTTCAGATTAGCTTAACCTGTATGATACAGGCGTTCGGCGCGGCGGCGGCGGTGGCGGGCCAATCAGCCAATCAGCGACCGTACACAAACCCATAAACTAGAGTCCCTATATACAGAGGATATAGGGACTGTATATACTGTACGGACTGTGTATACTGTGTATACTGTGTGGACTGTATATAGGGATATATATACTCTGTATATAGGGACTCTACCACAAACCCACAAACCAACACTCAAACACACGCCGGTGAAAACATAACCTCCGCCAAGCCCCTGGCGGTGGTAATAATGTCTAAAGAATGTTATCAGGCAGTTTCGAACGCAGTCATACAGCCATATAGCCATAGTGAGTGCGTGTGTATAATGATACGATACTGTATATGGTATACTATCGGGTAGTCGAAGTCTCTGTCTAACTGCATGGGCTTGTAGGTAAACACTCGTTTCCATGCATCCCTCAAACCGCCCTCGGTCGTTTTCGGTGTGCAGGTTAAACTATGGTTAAACTCACTAAACTCCGTTTAATTGACTGTATTATCATTATTTTAAAGTGGTGCCTTACGTTTAGAATGACTACCATTACACTTACGTTATCTATTCGATTCTAAACGGTGAAAAGATCGAGAGCTTGGACTACGTCTTTTACGGGCAAGGGCGGTTTGGGTGATGGATATAGCCCAGTCATATGTATTTAATACAAAAGTGCAATGCAGGCAAACCAAACCAAAGATGAATTAGGCATCTAAGAACTCAAAACAAAGATGAATAAGGCATCTAAAAACTCAAACAAAGATGAATAAGGCATCTAAGAACTCAAAAACTTAATTTTAAATAGAATACAGTCAATTAAACGGAGTTTAACCTGCACACCAGAAACGACCGAGGGTGGTATGAGGGATGGAAACGAGTGTTTACTGGACTTGTAGGCTTCCGTAAGCGCACAAGTAAATTTTACTGCTGATGCTTGGCTAACGCTTCATTTAGGAGTGTTCCCAACTTTGATATCAATTAATGATTAATGATTAATGATTACAACAGCATGAAAATCACGGCTTCTTCTCCAAAATTTAATTACTCACGACAATTCCGACATTCCGATTCTCTAGAATTTAACAGTTACCTGACGTGACACAAGTGTGCACAGGTACACAGAATGGTAAGGCAAATACACACTGCAACGACAACGCCCACCATAACCATGCCCGTCCCTAGGCTAGAGTACTAGAGCTAGCCCATCCCAGGCCTTTAAAAAAGTGGGGGGGGGCGACAGGACACGACGGACGGACCGGACGGGACGTACGGGACGGACGACGGACGGACGGACGGACGGACGACGGACGGACGGACGGACGGACGGACGGACGCGACGGCACGGACGGACGGACGGATGGATGGATGGATGGAGAATGGATGGGATGGATGGTAGGATGGATGGATGGATGGATGGATGGATGATGAATGCGATGGATGGATGGGTGGGTGAGAGCGAGAGTCAAGCGAGAATCAGAGCGAGAGTATGATATAAACATCTATCACATTTCCCAAAATTATCATTAAGCGGTAATACTCTACAATCTACATGGTTGCGCATGTGCAAATCGTTTTTTTCTGCAGCATCACCTAAAATACATCGAATATTTCGAATCGTTGCTTCTATTATTACTTGCGTTGTTATCTGTTGTTTCAGCTCGATAATATGGATCCCGGATTAATCGCTTTGATAATGGTAACGATAGCCATCTGTCGTGTTGAAGGAATAGGGGAAAGCACTAAATTTGTTCAATCCACCTGCTGGGAGTACTGGAATTGTTATCGACATTACGTACGACTTTGCCGAAAACGAGACGATTTATTGGCCATCATCTGAGGATTCTGAGCCGTTACCATTAGTACCATTAGCTACCGTTAGTAATACTCTCTTACTCTCGCCTAAAAGGGAACTATTCCAGAGAACGGTGCTAACTACCAGACCAATATAACTACTGTGCGGCTGAGCACGGGGGAACCCATATCGACCCCTCTACACTTTTATCGCGGCGCCTGGGCAGTCCATTGGTATTCCTGTCGATGGAATGATCGGTGATGCCGTCGTTGTAGACGTTACGCCAAGGTCTCTGGACATGTCGATTACCAAGCGACGCGAATCTACGTGTGTGGGAGGAGAAAAATGGTAGGATACCGGTCGCGAAGTATTCTATTCTTGTTCACGGGATGGGGACGGTACTGGCCTGACAGGAAGAAATTTCTCGCGGCACGGAGTCAAGAATACGATTCAAACTAAAACGTAACGTACAAAAACCCATACAACACTCTTCGAGAAAGAATATTGGTAGGATAGAAACGTAGCGAACCTAGGACCAACTTCCTCCAACAGGAGCGATGGTAATCGGTCTCCCCTTGAAGTTCGCGGGGGTTCTGGCGCCCCGCTCCGTATCATTGGTCTGTTGCCACAGGCAACTAGATCGGCTGCAATATACCACACGGCGACGTAATGGCTGATACTCCGCATGCTCTTTTTATTCTTGCCACAGTAGCCTTATAAAAATAGCTATTAGAGACACAGGCTATTGTAAATCTTTTATTGTTAGTTATAGTGTTATATCATACATTTATAACTAAATCGACAATCTGACGCGTGTGTTTTGCTACATGTGAGCAATGCTATTGACAGTTCTGATGTAGTTAATAGCTTGTTTGATATGCTTTACCTCTATTTACTTTACATTACGTTCACGAAAGTTCGTCTAGTTTCTGGTCACAGTATCTCGTAACTTACGATCTAAAATCACACAATTATCCTTCTTTCAGCATTAGACTTCCATTGAATCTTTAGTGTTCACCATTGATTATGAAGATCACGCCTGAAAATACATGAATAAAGTGAATTGAGAAGCATGTGATTTGAACTAGTTAAGATGATAAGATGGACGTCGTTGGCGAAATGTACATTTCATACAATTTTTGTCGGCAAGTTATCAGCGTCCTCTATTGGCTGACGTCACGACACGTTGGCTGAATGCGGCTTCCATATCTTTGCTATTAATCAACAAAGTGGTGTTGTGCATCACAGTAGAAACACCAAAGTGAGCGTACACCTTGATTGCTTTCTCTGACTATCTGCGTATATACTAAATTCTATCTGATATATAATTTCTTCCTGTCTCTTTTCTCCCCTCTCTCTTTCCCTCACGCTTACTCTTTCTATCCCCCCTCTCTCTCTATCTCTCTCTTCTACTCTCTTTCTCTCTCTCTCTCTGTCTCTTCCTCCCTTTCTAGCTCCCTTTCTTCGTAAGCCCTCGGGCGCGCGCGCGTGTGTTGGTGGTGGTGGTGTGTGGGTGCGTGCGTGCGTGCGTGCGCGCGCGTGTGTGTGCAGTGGCGTAGTTAGGGGGGGGGGCGGGGCATGGCCATGGTCATGGCAATGCCATGGTCATGGTCATGCATGGCCATGGCCATGGCAAAGGTGGCCATGCCCCTCCCCTGTTGATCCGAATGTAAAAATAAAAAATAAGAATTGTTCTACTAAAAAGAGAATTGTCCTAGTCAGAATGAAGACTATGTGTATGACATGTGTTGTATCGTCCCTCTGCGGGTTAATAGGGCTTTGCGACTAATTGTCTAAACTTCTAACCCTAGCAAGTTATTGTTGTTATTGTAATGTAACCCACCGCGCGCACTCTAACCCCATAGACCCAGACGGTGATTGGCCGGGGGTCGGATTGAAATGTCGCCGGGCGGTTTTCGGAAACGTATAAATAGACACGGACGAAAGATCAAAAATGAGTTACCTACCCAGGAGACGTACGTGAGTCATTACCCAGATCATACGTGAGTTATTACATGGTCATTCCTATCAAGATGTAGCGGACGAAGACGAGACACGGGGCGTAGGCTTGGGTGCCTAGGTTGCCGTAGTGTATATATATTTGTATTGTGCTTACTAATAAAGTCAGTCTTCAAGAACAAATTCTTTTACTATATCGTCTTTACTCCTTGCTACAATCTGCTACCTTTTGCTAACTCGACGCTGCTACGATGCCGGAGCGGAGATCAACAACTTTACAACTCTACGATTCTACGATGCCGTTGCTGCTGCTGCTGCTGCTTTCCCGGGGGATCCCTGCTGTGTAGTGGGATTTATCCTGGGCGCTGGGATTAAGGAATAATCCTCTATACGTGAGGCGTGCTGCATGTAGTGTTAACGTTGCACCATTAATGTAAGCTTTGATTTTTTTAATTTACCTTCAATTTTTCTTTTTTCGTTTTCCGCTTCTTTGAAGTTAGATTTTTGTTCTTTTTTGCGTGCATCTCCTTTTCTTTATTGTTTTTCTTTTGTCTTGTTTCTTTTTCTTTTCTTGTTTGTCTTTCTTTATTATGTTTCATTCACTTTTCAATGTTAACGATGGGGACAGTTGGTCATCAGACATGAACTCCTATATATGTTATGCTTTATATTTAGTGTGAATGCTGTTATCAGTGACTTAGATATAGCACGCATGTCATGCCTTACCTATACCGGTATGACGTAACCTACCGAATCTCTACACAGACGTCACGTGACCATTACGATTCGATTACATCGTCGATTTGCTCGGTCGTTAAATTATCGAGCAGCGATCGATTAAATTATCGATCGCTGCTCGATGAAATGAGATCGGTGAAATCAAATCTGTCGAATCGTAGATTTGCAAGGTCTCGCAGATTTCTGTGTGGTGGTAACGGCATCCACGTGTACGCACAGTGGCTGCGGCGGCGGTGCAGGTGGCGGCGGCGGCGCTGGCGTCGTCGGCGGAGCCGCGAACCCGGTTCCCAGCTGCGGCTCTCAGGACCTATGCAAGGGTGACGGCTGCTGCCTGCTGTGTGTGAGGCGGAGCATCAGCGATAGCGGACTCTCCCTGCCCTGGAACTACGCTTCACCCCTCATGTACCTCAAGGTAATGCCTCTCGCGGCCTGGGAACGAGGTGACGGTGGGGGAGGGAGGGGAGGGAGGGGAGGGCAAGACAGGAATAGAAGATAGCGGGAGAGGGGTGGAGAGATATAGAACGATTCAGTGAGTGAGTGAGAGAGGGGGAGTGAGAGAGATAGCGAAGGGGAGCATGTGTAGGGGGAGGGGGTAGGGGAGACGCGTGGCCGTGTTTGTTTGATACGTGTGTATATGTAACATTTAACAATAATGTTTTTTTACATGCGACTGTAATGTACGTGTAACATACACAGCATGTGCATGTGATGTATATAATTTGTACATGTAATCATTTTCCCATTGACGACTTGAGCGGTGCTGCTGTCGGTGTAGACGTTAGCAAAAATATCGAGAATAATGGGAATACGCATATTATATTCATAGAAGACCTCGCGATGCTAGACTTATCTATTTGCATAGTTGAAATTGTCGCTCAAAAAAACGCGCGGATCTGTCCGGCGCCCCACTCTTAATGATCGGCCCGTTCTATAGGTGATGTTTGGCGTGGGTCACCACGTCACTACACGACGTTATGTCCACAAAGGAATACACCAAGTTCTTTTGGTCCGGCACCAATAATGTAGCGTCGATATATGGCGTAGATGAGCATTTACACAGCAGCAATGAGTTTGTTCAGTTACAACGACAGTTTATTCTAAACACAGACAGCAAATATATATAGTAGCCTACAGTTTCAGTGGAAACATACCAGTAGATGTGCAGGCCCGGAACGCTCTGCTCCTCTACATTTTTGGCGCATTTATAAAGCCCGAATACTCTCTTCGTGACCCGTCCGGGCGTCATTATAGCCTCTTTCCGTGTCCTCCTTTACCCGACCGGAGGACATTCTGGGTTACTCATACTTTGATGATGACGCAGTTGCGTTGTCGACCTCCGGTAACTGCAACGTCGCGTGTGCTCGTTTTTAATTACTTTTTATATTGTCATGTTTATTTTCCTTGAGATCTATGGTTCGCTGTTATGATAAAATGCTGTATTATATACTACTGATACACTACAATTTAATATATATACTTTTTTTTACGACTTCTTTACTTCTTACGTGCCCGATCTTATAAAAAATATCATATATTAACAAGCTCGCGTTTATTTTGGAGCAGTGGGTAGGACGGGAGAATCGAAAAGAAGGGGTGTACGCGTGGAAGAACGATTGGAGTAAAATAAAGATGGATGGCAAGGGGGTTGAGAGAAAAGAACACGATCGCTAAAAGATACTCTATTAGCACCCTAGCTGTAAATCGCCTATTTTGACATTGTCACATGATATTATTACAACTTACCGGTTTTACACGTGACACATGACTTAAAAATAAACTGGTTGCGTGAGCCACCTAGTCTTGCGCTGGTATGTAGTGAAAATTAAAAGTGGTGAGCACGGCCGCGGCTGCATAGAACCACATCTGCCAGTAAGGAAAGAACGACGAATACTTAACACCAGAACAGGAGACAAGGAAACATTGCATAGACACCGAGGACCTCAGGTTGGTTTATAGTATACGTCTATTTATTTTGAGTTGGTTAAGTACAGATTAGGCTTGTTATAAAATCTGGTTTGATGTGATGGCAGCGGAAGTTTATGTTCTTTGTCTCTAATTTCCACGAGTTAAAACGTCGTTTTTATGTTGCCTGACGGATTAGAGTGTACGTAAATTTGCTGATAAGGTCAACATTTCTACACGTAAAATAGCGGCATATACAAATAGTATCCAACAGGCTTCTCGCCTATAAGCGTTTTCTTTAGAAGAAACGCCACTCTTCGAGAAAAAAAAATGCAAATATCGGTAAGCACACCGCCATCTGCATCTGAAGATTTTGTGCTACTTGTAGCTACAGATGTCCAGCTCAGTTATAACATGCAGTCAGGAAAAACTAACTTTTGAAAACCCCGCATCTTCCGCTTTTGTTATTCACGATAACCGACATTCGATCCGTTGGATGATACCCATACACCCCAAGGGGGAGTGAACTATATAGGGACAGGGAAAAGAGGAGGTGCCGGCAGGATGAGGGAAGGAAGAGGAGTATCTGGAATAAACGTAAGGCACAGCCCGATGAGAAAGGGAAGGAGCAAGAGCCCACTGAGATAAAAAAAAAAGTGTAATGCAGGATGGTAAAGTCTTGTCTAGCGATCATGTATACACTCATATATGCATATGTGTGTAAAACGTTATTACACGGTTTATAGATGCATATACATATATTTAGCAGGCACGTACAACATCACGCAAAAATAGTTTTTTTAGCATTTCTTTGTTCTATAAGTATTTATATAAGTTCTATAAGTCTTCCGTATCTATAAGTTATTCTTCGTCACGTATTCACATTTCTGTACATTATATTCATGCTCCTGATATACTTGCCAGCATGGTCTGTTGTTGCAGTAACGTCGTCCTTCAAACAGTTTTCCGTGGTTGTACGCATTAGCATATTGGAACATACCGGTTTTTTCACGACGACACGTATCGACGCCCCTCTACACTTTTATCGCGGCGCCTGGGCAGTCCATGATATTCCTGTTGATGGAATGATCGGTGATGCCGTCATTGTAGACGTTACCGCCAATTAAGGTCTCTGGACATGTCGATTACCAAGCGACGGAATCTACGTGTGTGGGAGGAAAAACATGGTAGGATACCGGTCGGAAGCATTCTATTCTTGTTCACGGGATGGGGACGGTACTGGCGTGACAGGAAGAAATTTCTCGGCACGGAGTCAAGAATACGGTCAAACTAAAACGTAACGTACAAAATCCATACAACACTCTTCGAGAAGAATATTGTAGGGATAGAAAACGTAGCGAACCTAGACCAACTTCCTTCAACAGGAGCGATGGTAATTAGCGGTCTCCCCCTGAAGATTCGCAGGGGCCGCTCCGTATCATTGGTCTGTTGCCACAGGCAACTATATCGGCTGCAATATACCACACGGCGACGTAATGGCTGATACTCCGCATTGCTCTTTTTATTCTTGCCACAGTAGCCGTATAAAAATAGCTATTAGAGACACAGGCTATCGTAAATCTTTTATTGTTAGTTATAGTGTTATATTATACTTTTATAACTAAATCGACAATCTGACGCGTGTGTTTTGCTACATGTGAGCTATTGACAGTTTTGATGTAGTTAATATCTTGTTTGATATGCTTTACCTCTATTTACTTTACATTCCGTTCACGAAAGTTCGTCTAGTTTCTGGCCACAGTATCTCGTAACTTACGATCTAAAATCACACAATTATCCTTTTTCAGCATTAGACTTCCACTGAATCTTTAGTGTTCACCATTGATTATGAAGATCACGCCTGAAAATACATAAATAAAGTGAATTGAGAAGCATGTGATTTAAACTAGTTAAGATGATAAGATGGACGTCGTTGGCGAAATGTAATTTCATACAGTTTTTGTCGGCAAGTTATCAGCGTCCTCTATTGGCTGACGTCACGACACGTTGGCTGAATGCGGCTTCCATATCTTTGCTATTAATCAACAAAGTGGTGTTGTGCATCACAGTTCTGAGATTCTGAAGCACGTTACCGATTAGTACATACTTTACCGTTAGGTGAATACTCTCTTTACTCTCGCCTAAAAGGGGAACTTATTCCAGAGAACGGGTTGTAACTAACCAGGACCAATAAACTACTGTGCGGCTGACCACCTGCTGGAGACCGCAACATTATCGACATGACGTATGACTTTGCCGTAAACGAGACGATTTACTGGCCAACAGCTGACCCGTTTAATATGACGGTCGTATTTAAGGGTATCGTCCCATCGAGCGGAGTTTACTTAGAGGTCAATAATTTCTGTGCGGCTGAGCACGGAGGAACGCATATCGACGCCCCTTCCCATTTCTATCGAGGCTCCTGGGTAGTTGATCATATTCCCGTTGATGGAGTGATCGGTGATGCCGTCGTTGTAGACGTTACCGCCAAGGTCTCTGGAGATAAAGATTACCAAGCGACAGAACTTGATCTGCGTGTGTGGGAAGAGAAACATGGTAGGATACCGGACGGAAGTATTCTATTCTTGTACACGGGCTGGGGACGGCACTGGCCGAATAAAGAGAAGTATCTCGGCACGACCACGAAGGATACGAGCTTGCTTCGTTTTCCTGGTCTTCATCCTGACGCGGCGAAGTGGCTAGTCGAAAATCGCAAGATCAAAGCCTTCGGGATTGATGCAGCTTCCCTGGATTATGGCCAGACCAAAACGTACAAAACCCATACAACACTCTTCGAGAAGAATATTGTAGGGATAGAAAACGTAGCGAACCTAGACCAACTTCCTCCAACAGGAGCGATGGTAATCGGTCTCCCCATGAAGATTCGCGGGGGTTCTGGCGCCCCGCTCCGTATCATTGGTCTGTTGCCACAGGCAACTAGATCGGCTGCAATATATAACACTGCCACGGAATGGCTGATACTCAGTATTGCTCTCTTTATTCTTGCTGTAATAGCTGTATGAAGAATTTAATAATAAAGTGGTAGACAATTGCAAGCGAGCTAGCATGAGCTACTATTATTTATATTAATTTTTAACTAAATCACTAATCGTGAATAACTAATAAGTTTGTGATTCTGTTTGTTTTTAACATAACGTTACATATGACGCGCCAACGCGTTTTCGTTCGTTTTATAATAAAATTATTAGTATTTAGTAACTAAGTTAATGAGTTAGGCTATATGATCAAGGTCAGCTAATGTGAGACCTGTGAGTTTTTGTCGCCTAGTTCCGTAATAGTCAAGTTCTTGTGAGTTAACATTGATAAACATTGGTAACATGATCGCATATCTTAGTGGCAGCTTAGCAATGAAACGGTATCGTGATCCTTGCCTCTGATTTTCCGCATGCCAGATATTATATCGTATTTAATTTCGTTTTAATTAATCTATAATGGCAATTATACAATATTACAATTTTAATATTCTCTGTCATATTAATATTATATTTGTTTGTTAACTGAGTTAATTTGGCGGTTTTAAGGCTAATTCTTATTATACGACATAGAGTCGAATAAAGAGTTCAATAATTAAATGCTTATTTCTCAAACATTTTTCAAAGAAAAGAAACAGAAACTGAATAATCCCATAGAATATATGCACAATACTAGAGCACTCGGAGAGTACAGACCTCCGCCAAGGCAGCTGAATTCTCTCAATGTGAAATTTTTTGTTAATCAATTAATTAATTAAGAGAACAAATTAATTAATTAATTAATTGGATCCGGATCACCACCAAAATGCTACATTCATATCTAAGTTAGGGCCATTTCTGACCATCCTTGGAAAATCTTGTATTAGATTAATTATTATGTTATATTAATGAAGTTGGTTCCGGGTATCACACCAAATGTAATCAATGCTAAGTTACCATTCTGAGCCTTTCTGAAATTGCCTTATTAATGATTATTATTATTGGATCCGGTATCACACCAAAATCTCATCGAATTTTAGTTAGCCCATTTGCTGACGTATCTGAGCAAATTTCTTGACAATCGTTCCATACTTTTCAGTGAGCTAACCTGTTATGATAAGGCGGTTCCGGCGGCGGCGGCGGCGGCATCGGTGGCCGGGCATCAGCAATCAGCGAGCTACACGCCCACAGACCACAAACCCACAACCACCTCAACACCGCCCGAGTGAAACATACTCTCGCCAAGCCCTGGCGGAGCTTTATATGTTAAATAATGTTATCTGGCAAGCAGTTTCGAAGCGAGTCTCGTCCATTAGCATAGTGAGTGGGTTTGTTATTTCAGGCCGTTACGGGAGTTTAATTGCATATTTGTGTACGTGGTTTGTTTATACCAATCAATAGTAATCGCGTGTTCCGTGAATCACTTTCCAGCGATTCATGTGCGAAGTGTGAAGCATGGGTGAGGGTGTAGAGAATCGAGGAGGAGAGAAGCTGGTGAGAGAAGGGAGGAGCGCGGCGACGGAGCTGGTGGCAGAATGAGAAAGGGGCGGAGAGGGAGAAGGTCGGGGAGAGACAGGAGGGAGAAGTGGTGGAAGCGAGGACGGGAGAGCTGGTGGAGAATGAGGAAAGGGAGAAGTGGAGCTCTCTTGTCCTTCTCCCCGCTTCTCCCCTCGTCTTCTCCACCAGCTTCTGCCCCTTCTCATTCTTCCACAGCTCTCCCTTACTTCATTCTCCACCAGCTTCTCCCCTCTGCCTTCTCCACTCAGTCTATTCCGCCTTCCTCATTCCATCACAGCTTCTCCCCTCTCATTCTCCAACCAGCTTCTCCCTCCGCTTCTCCCGGCTTCTCCCTTCCTCAATTCTCCCCAGACTTCTTCCTCCTCCTTCCACCAGCTTCCTCGGGCCCCCCCCCGTCCTCTTCTCCACCAGCTTTTCCCGTCTCCTTCCACACCAGCTTTCTAACCCATGCCAGACGGTGAATTAGCCGGGTCGGTCGCATTGAATTGGTCGCGGGCGGTTTTGGAAACGTATAATGAGACAGGGACGAAAATAAAAATGATCGTTACCTACCCAGGAGACGTACGTGGAGTCATTACCCAGATCATCGTGATTCATTACCATGGTCATTCCTATTAAGATGATAGGCGGACGAAGGACGAACACGGGGCTAGGCCTTGGCGGTGCCGTAGGTCGTGCCGTAGTGTAGTATATATTTGTACTTGTGTTACTAAAAAGTCAGTCTTCAAGAACAAATTTCCTACTAATCGTCTTCTACTCTTGCCTACAATCTGCTACCTTTTGCTAACTCGACGCTGCCTTACGATTGCCGGAGCGGAGGTGCAACAACTTTACAACTCTCGATTTAACGATGCACGGTACCGGAGAAGAACAAAAAACCTTTTCTAGTTACAATACAATGTACTCAAAAGCTGCCTCAAATACCTATCTCCTGCGATCACATTTTAAAAAAAATTCTGGGGAAGACCCTCACTGTTATATCATCTTAGGTAGCAGAGCGAACAACGAACAAAATGTTCGCCTTTATGATGGCGCCCAATGGAACATTACAAGATTGTAGAGCCTGAGGGTGGTGGCGTTACGTCGGGTGTGGCAGGAGGGAGCGGAGGAAACCCATTAAAATTATGTATCGCACCATTTTTGCGCAGTTCGCTGTTTTTCGCCCCCCTAGTTAAAAAATCCTGGCTACGCCACTGTGCTGCTGTGCCGTGCGTCCGCGTTGCGTGCGTGCTGTGCGTGCGTGCGTGTGTGTGTGTGTGTTGGTTGTGTGTGTGTGTGTAGTGGTGTGTGTGTGCTGTGATCTGGTGTGTGTGTGTGAATGTGTGCGTGCGTGTGTGTGTTTTTCCATGAAGCGCTTACTGATTTGCGTGGGCCGCTACTCAGGGTATATAGCATGATTTAATACGTAACCGCCTTGTCTTCTTCCGTTACCACACTTTGCATACTTTGTAAATAGCTTCTTCTGTTTTATTTATATCCGCCAAATGGATGTCCTTCATAACGGTGACGATTGCGACGCGGCCAACAGTATTCGTGCGGTCAATCATGCGGCAACGTATATCGACGCCGCTTCGCACTGTGAACGCAGCGCCTGGGTAGTCGCTGGAACATTTTCCCATTGACGGCTTGAGCGGTGCTGCTGTCGGTGTAGACGTTAGCAAAAATATCGAGAATAATGGGAATACGCATATTATATTCATAGAAGACCTCGCGATGCTATAGACTTATCTATTTGCATAGTTGAAATTGTCGCTAAAAAAACGCGCGGATCTGTCCGGCGCCCCACTCTTAATGATCGGCCCGTTCTATAGGTGATGTTGGGCGTGGGTCGCCACGTCACTACATGACGTTATGTCCACAAAGGAATACACCAAGTTCTTTTGGTCCGGCACCAATAATGTAGCGTCGATATATGGCGTAGACAAGCATTTACACAGCAGCAATGAGTTTGTTCAGTTACAACGACAGTTTATTCTAAACACAGACAGCAAATATATATAGTAGCCTACAGTTACAGTGGAAACATACCAGTCGATGTGCAGGCCCGGAACGCTCTGCTCATCTACATTTTTGACGGATTTATAAAGCCCGAATACTCTCTTCGTGACCCGTCCGGGCGTCATTAGCCTCCTTCCGTGTCCTCCTTTACCCGACCGGAGGACATTCTGGGTTACTCATACTTTGATGATGACGCAGTTGCGTTGTCGACTTCCGGCTACTGCAACGTCGCTGCAACGTCGCGTGTGCTCGTTCTTAATTACTTTTTATATTGTCATGTTTATTTCCTTCGAGATCTATGGCTCGCTGTTATGATAAAATGCCGTATTATACTACTGAGTACTGATACACTATACATCAATATATATACTCTTTTTACGACTTCTTTACTTCTCACTTGTCACATAATATTATTACAACTTACCGGTTTTACACGTGACACATGACTTAAAAATAAACTGGTTACGTGAGCCACCTAGTCTTGCGCTGGTATGTAGTGAAAATTGAAAGTGGTGAGCACGGCCGGCTGCATAGAACCACATCTGCCAGTAAGGAAAGAACGACGAATACTTAACACCAGCACAGGAGACAAGGAAACATTGCATAGACACCGAGAACCTTAGGTTGGTTTATAGTATACGTCTATTTATTTTGAGTTGATCAAATACAGATTAGGCTTGTTATAAAATCTGGTTTGATTTGATGCCAGCCGAAGTTTATGTTCTTTGCCTCTAATTTCCACGAATTAAAACGTCGTTTTTATGTTGCCTGACGGATTAGAGTGTACGTAAATTTGCTGATAAGGTCAACATTTTTACACGTAAAATAGCGGCATATACATAATAATAGTATCCAACAGGCTTCTCGCCTATAAGCGTTTTCTTCAGAAGAAAACCCACTCTTCGAGAAAAAAAAGCAAATATCGGTAAGCACACCGCCATCTGCATCTGGAGATTTTATGCTACTTATAGCTACAGATGTCTAGCTCAGTTATAACACGCAGTCAGAAAAAACTAACTTCTGAATGCGCCTCATCTTCCGCTTTTGTTATTCACGATAACCGACATACCCATACACCCCAAGGGGGAGTGAGCTATACAGGGACAGGGAAAAGAGGAGGTGCCGGCAGGATGAGGGAAGGAGGAACAGTATCTGGAATAACCGTAAGGCACAGCCCGATGAGAAAGGAAGGGTGCAGGAGCCCACTGAGATAAAAAATAAAAGTGTCAATGACACTGTAGCCCACCACAAAATGACAGCAAATGAGTGAGTGAGAAGAAGTCAGTTTTATATTGAGCAACATCGACGTACTTATAGGAACGAAGGGTATATAGTGGGAGAACTCCATTATATACTCTTGATAGATTATATGTGTAATTTTTTTATGTGAAAATAATATATAAATTATATATACAATTTAAATAATTTAACCAAAGATGAATCACCAATTTTGTGACGGTAGATGGCGCTACACCGCTTGAGGATTTGCTCCCGATTAGCTGGGTCTGGATCGATGGTATCCATGACCGCTTTGA